GGACTGCGGCTCTCTAGGACCGAACTTGCCTACCCCTGACCTAAATGAAGAATTAATACGAGTAATACTTTATTGATATTAGTTAATTAAAACAAGCTTTTGGTAGATGTTGCTCTCTTTAGATCAGACTTCTCTACAGGACGTCTTCTGTACTGTACCTTTGATCTCTCTCTCTCTCTCTCTCTCGCTCTCTCTCTCTCTGTGTTATTTTTTAATAACTAAGCGTTTGATTATTTATAACGTTTTATTAAAGAAGATTTTCACAGAATGATTTCGGCAAAATGGCGCCCCCTGTGTGCGGCGCCCCTATGCACTGCATATACTGCATACCATAGACATATAGAATAATATGAGGCGTCTAGGTATTTTATATGTCTATGGTATGCAGTATATGCAGTGCACCAAAAAGTTTCTCAATCATTTACACACATATAAAAACCCTCATCATCATCATCATCATCATCATCATCACACATTATACAAATGCAGATTAATGACTCTTTCCACTATGTGATAAATGTTTTAATATGGATAACATAGTTTCAAGAAATGTAAAATTTCCAGATTTCAAGTTATCAAAAGTAATCCCTAAATCAGGGGTAGGCAAGTTCGGTCCTAGAGAGCCGCAGTCCTTTGATCTCTCTCTCTCTCTCTCTCTCGCTCTCTCTCTCTCTGTGTGTGTGTGTGTGTGTATATATATATAAATAAAAGTAGGTCCCCCCCAATGTTCAAGACATGGTTACGGCCTTGCGAGGAACAAGGGTGAGTTTACTGTCATAACCCAAAATATATAACACACACACTCTACAGGAAGGTTTGTTTTAAATAATACAGCTGTAGCTGCAGTAATATTTCCTGGAAGGTAGTTCTTCTAGTTTTTTCATAATTTTAAACCATTTTAGTTTTTACACAATTTGGCTTTTTTGCAGTTCACTTAAATAGACCTAAAGCGCGTCAGCTGAATTTTAAAAATAGATTCAGCAATATCTCTCTCAAGTAAAATGAAGTAATTAAAAGTAGAAGTATAATAATTATATGAGAATTAGAAACAATGGTAAAATAGTTTTAGAAAAAGTATGGCGTGCCGTACTGCAGGACACTGCTTTATTTAATACTAAAAAAAAAACTAATTATATTTTAATAGACTACATTTCCTGGACATATATCATCGTCAAGAAGTTGAGGGAAGGAGGATGCGGCTCCGTCGTTGAAGGGACGGCCTTCAGGCGGCTGTGAAATTCACAATGAAGACAGAAAACGAGTCGTACCTCTCATTCACTGTTTGCAATTTATAACATTTTAGATTCATATAAAAGACAGAGTACAGATATTTCAGTAGACAAACAGACTGAGCTAAATCCTTATTTGAGAAACCACTTCCAGCTGACCATCATAAAAATCAGTCTTTCTTCTAGCCTGACCGTCCCAGTCCAGTTCCTCTAGAGGTGGCTCTGACAGTCATGGCCAATCAAGGCCCCCGCTGTCGCCACATCATAGAGCTGCTGGACTGGCAGGACCATCCCGACCAGTACATGATGGACTTAGAGCGGCCTTCGCCCTGCATGGACATGCATGATTTTTGGGAGCATCAGGGCGACCTCTTCTGTGAGGCGTTGGTGTGTCATTTCATGCAGCAGGCGATCGATACTGCTGTCGTTTGCTGTTCCCAGGGGGTCTTCCATCGGGACATCAAGATGGCCAACCTCCTGTTCAACACTGAGACTATGGAGGTCAAACTGATCGATTTTGGTGTTGGGGACCTCCTGAAAAGCTCGGCCTACATCACCTTCAGTGTTATGTATTATCTCTCAAACATCTCGTTTGGGACTTAAACTCGAGTGACCCGTTACAGCATGTATTAATCAGATGGGACACAGCGAGATATTAACAATACAGTCACAACATTCTCAGAAGATGAAAGCCAATCTTGCCATTTCAGTCAGAGTAAAGTGAGAAAAGTATTAAAGCAAACTTAGACATGACACACTCTTTCCTCCAGGGACAGCAAATTTCCCTCCTTAGTACTTTGAGAAGGGCGAGTACTACGGGAAGCAGGCAACAGTGTGGTCGCTGGGAGTGCTGCTGACTTCATCTCTCCAGCCTTAGCGTCTTGCAGGGCTGGCAGACCTTGGTTGCGTCTGGCGCCTTGGCCTGAGGCTGTAGTTTTAGCGTCTTGCGGAACTACTCGCCGAGGGATGTGAGTTGTAAATAGTTAGTTTAGTTTAGTACTGCACCATCCAATCATATTTTTAATAATGGAGTCACCCAGAGCGTCCCAGAGTTCCCTGTCAAGCCCGCTTCACAAGTTCCTCTCACTGCCGCTCCAGAGGTTCCTGCCACCGGCGTCCGAGTCCCAGAGATCCGTGCCACAGATGCATCAGGGGTTTCAGTCATGGACACAGAGCTCTTTTTCTCAGCTGCCTTTGATCAGGAAATCCCTGTGAAGGCTGTGATAAAGGTTCCTGTCACTGCTGCTCCAGAAGCTGCTGAGGCTCCACAGAGGTTCCTCACTTGAAAAATCCCAGGACGCCCATTTCACAACTTCTCTGGTCCCAGAGGTCCCTCACAATGCTGCTCCAAAAGTTCCTGCCATACCGTGTCCCAAAGATCCTGTCAGGGCGGCTCCAGAAATCAATGTGAATGCTGCCCTAAACGCTGCTGCTCCAGGACCTGCTGAGGTCAGAGAGGTCAGAGTCACAGGCACCACAGATGTCACTCAACAGGGTTCCTTATCAGAGCCACCCTGGTCCCAGAGCTGAAGGTCCCGGCCTGAAGGTTCCCGTTGCTGCTACTGCCCCAGAACCCGCTACGGTTCCAGAGCTCATGGCAGCTCCAGTTTTGCAGATGTTTCCCAGATGTTTCTGGCTTGATTGTCTGGGTCATTTTGTGATTGGTTTTCGGTCCTTTGTATTAAACTATACATACATGCATGGTGCTGTTTTTTTCCCAATTGTTTAAGCAACTTTATTAATTATATAGGGTTTATAAACATTATTTTAAACACTATACACTTTTTTTCAAAGATAGTCATGTTATTTTATTACGCTTTGAAGAAACGTGCATAATATTTTGCTCGATGTGCCCTCTTGTGGCCTCAGGAGAGAAGCCAAAAGCTTTTTTTCCCCCTAACTGAAATTATGCCTTTTAAATTCGAATATAATTCGAATTTTGATAATATTTAAGTGGAAAATTCGAATTTAGTTTTTCAGTCATTTTGAGAGCCCTATTGTGTACCACATTAAAAAGACTTGGAAAATACACAAAAATGTTTTGTTTTGAAAGGAAAACATGATAATCTGGAAATATGAACTATTCCTTCATTTTTAGAGAGGTTACAGTTTATATTTACCTGTTAATATTTATCACTTTGAATGTTGGTTTGAATAATAAACTCACGAGGTAAGTACTACCAGGTAAGTAACATCTCAGTATGGCTGAACATCATAATTTGCTTCTAAACACACAAATGGAATAATTAATAACTGCAGAGATGCAGTTTTAACCAGTCTCATATACACTATCTAGACAAACCTCATTCTTTACATGGCTGTGATGTGCAGAAAATAGCATCTTGACTGATGCGTCACCATAAGTATGGCTACTCTTTTTTTTTCTTTTCACATCTTCATCACTACTTTCTTACATTTTCACTTTGGGCCACTAAACAAGTTCCTCTTTACATCCATCATGTTCTTTGCATCGTTAACGGCATGCACACTTTATTTTGAAGCGACAGAAGAACAAGTTCACTTTCAGAATAACAACCATTAAAAATAATTACACACACACAGTGGTGATTTGGGGCAACTTGGTGTCTTAGTAGGCCCATATGCCTGGCAAACTCCACCCCCTTATAACAATTAGTAGTAGGTTTCTGATCAATACATTTTGGTCAATACATTTTTCCAGCTGTGCTAAATACCTGTTCACTGTATCACTGCACTGAACAAATAGCAGATCGTTATTGTTGCACATTTTAATTTACATTTGAATGTTGTTTTTGAAATAACTACCGGTCCCACTTTGACTATAAAGGTGTAGTCACATTTACCACAGTTTAGGGCAAAATCCACTTGAGCATTTGAGGTTTTGTATGAAACACTTCCTTTTTGATCTGTATGGTACAACTCGTGTATTTCTAAAATAATATTGTGATATGAGCCATTTGGAATATATTTTAAAACAAAGCCAGTGACAAATTCTCAAGTTTCCCACTTCACCCTCCTTCACTCTAGTCCTGCAGAGTGTATTCAATGTAGTGTCTCAATTAATGTGACGTTACCTGATGCATGTCATCATCACAGGGCACTAGTGAAACTGAACTTTCAGTTCCTTATAATGGTTAACACAAGAAATCACTGGGCTATTTGATTTTCATCATAAAGGAGGATCCAACATGGCCTTTCCTCCAGCCAAGTTATTCAAACACGCACACACATACACACACATGCACAACCACACACTAGCTGACTTTACAGCGGAAGTCTTTGTCTTAGTTGTCTTCCCTCCCATCAGAGGACAACGGCACCTTTGAGTTTGGCAGAAGCGTGAAGGTAACTCGCTCTATTGACCATTATCTCACAATTGACTGTTTTTTTCTGTTGTTCTACTGTATTAATGATGATTCGGTGCTTAATGTGCATTAGTAAATAGGGTTTAATTCCAAATCAATACATACTACAGGCTATACATCTACAGTGCCATGTATATTGTGTCATGCAAATGAATTTGTTTTTAAAATGGCGCTTGTTTGGTAACAGAAATGAGACTGACATAGAAATCCATACGTTATCAAACATGACATCATGTTTCTGGATGCATTTCTCTCTCACACATGCATAGATGTCTGTTAAATCAGACCATAGCAAGGATGAGGAGGGGAATCATGGGCCGGAGGTCACGGTTATGGAGACGAACCGCTTCGGCTTCATTCTAGGGAATGGAGAAACTGACAGGTCAGTGTTGATGTCTGGCTCAGAGTTTGGGTGGAACCTGATTTAAGTGTTCTTGACTGTATTTGTATGCTGTAAGCCCTAGTTGAGCACAGTGTGTGTGATTGAATATATCATCTGTGGTCAAGGTGCTTCTAATTCTGTATTACCAATATTGATAATTCATAACTCACCATGTTACCGTCACCTTCCGCACTTCTTACTCTCATTTTCTCCTTCTCAACATCCTGTCATGTTGCCATGGTGATTTCTAGCCTGTCAGAGTGTGGTTTCCTGTTTTTTTGCGTGTTTGCCTCTCGTGACACTCGTGCTTTGCTCTGGTATGGGGACGCGCTTTAGTGAGTGAGTTAGGAAGCAGGGTAAAGGTGTGTGATTTTCTGCTTCAGTGGAAAGTATGTTCACACTGACTGTACAGTGACAGTGATGCTGCTGTATTGTGAGTGTAGTGTTGCTGATTGTGTGTGTTGTTGACAGTGATGGTCCATGTCCTGAGTTAGTGAGACATCGAGAGTCCAAGTGGCTCAACCTCATGACTCAATGGGAGCAAGTGATGGAGAAAAAGAGCAACAAGGTGTGTCTATCTTGCTATTGTATACTTGTGTGTAAAATTGTATATAAAATCAAATCTACATCTGGCACATTTTTTTATATAATAACTTGTGGCCTCCATCCATATCTAGGGACCAGAATATCATTCAGACATTTATTCAAACATGGAGTCCCAGCAATATCTAAGCACTATGATAGAAAATATCATGAAGACAAAATAAATTCATATTTATCAGTTGGAATGTATAATTCACATGGAAAAGCATCTGTCAGGCCAATTCTAACGTTGTTGTGGCAAGATCTGCATAGACACGCAAAAAAAATTTTTTAGTCATGCAATGATAAAATTAGAAATTTTGTGCCAACCCCTTGTGGAAATACAAGTACACTTGAGCATACTTTAAAGAAAAAAAGTACTTACGGAAATAATATACATTCATTTTTATTTTATATATTACAAAATAAATTCATATTTATCAGTTGGAATGTATAATTCACATGGAAAAGCATCTGTCAGGCCAATTCTAACGTTGTTGTGGCAAGATTTGCATAGACACGCAAAAAAAATTTTTAGTCATGCAATGATAAAATTAGAAATTTTGTGCCAGCCCCTTGTGGAAATACAAGTACACTTGAGCATACTTTAAAGAAAAAAAGTACTTACGGAAATAATATACATTCATTTTTATATATAAATTTTTCATTTTAAATGTATATTAAATGCAATTAGCTGAATTTTAGTCTGCCTTTATGACCACTTAAATAGGGCTTGAGTACATATGTATGTGTAATTTCATAATTACTTCCGTTGTCTTTGAAATATAGCTAATGTGTACTGCCAAATGTACTGACAAGCATTTATGATGAACTAAAATATATTTTAATATAATTTCTATTGAAACCTTTATGTCATGTATTTAAATATATTCCTAATTACACATTTGTAATGAAGAAGTTGCACTGTAGTATTTAAAATATTATCCCCCGGTTTCACAGACAAGGCTTAAGCCTAATCCTAGTCTAAAATGTAAGTCTTAGCTGTTTCAACTGAAAGAAACTTGCACTGATTGATCTTAAAATATAGCAGTGCCTTTGTTTTGTCTCAAGATGCACCCCAGTAATGTTTTTTTCTAAGCATGTTTATAAAAATGACTTAAATGTCCTAATTGAACTATGGCCTAATCCTGGTTTAGTCTAAGCCCTGTCTGTGAAACCGGGCCATTAACTTTAAATGTAATATCAAATAACTCTGCAGTTAAAAATTATAATCAAGTGCTTTACATTGTCCTTTTGTATATGTCAACACATCAAAAATAAATGTAAACTATGTCTTTCACGCATGACAAGATTATTACAACATCATTATTTGATAAGTTAAACTTTCAATTTGACATTATATCAAAGTGCACTTTTACTTGTTTTACTTGAGTGTGTTAAGAAAGTCATGAGAGTGAACTCTCTTCAAGTACACTTAAGTGGCCTTTTGTTTCATTAATATTGTATTATCTGCTAGTAGTTTTTTTTTTTAAATATACTTTCAAGATTTGAAGTTACAATTAAGCACATTTGTTTTCACAAGGGACAGAGAAGAGAAAGAATAATAACGTTCAGATTATTTGTAAGTTGAACAGCTGTAAACTGTAGAGGCCTGTTTATGGAACTTGAAAATTCATAAATCTGTAATCAGTTAATGAATTAGAGATGTGTAAATTGCCCAGATGTTTCACAAGCTGCCATTGGCTCAAGCTGGCCATAAAGAAATAAGGTCTCCTGTCTGATGTGATGACATACAAAATCATCAAAGTAGTTTTGAATTAAATGTATTCCGCTGTTTATGATCTTGATTGATTCTTTGAGCCTTGATTCGTCTGCTGATTATTGTGCGAGACCTCATATCATTGTCAGTCGGCCTACATATGATACAGGATGTTGAATGTCAAATACTGCAGCCTGCAAATGAGTGCCAAATTCCTCTGTATGTACCTTGACCAATCATTAAAAAAAAGATTTAGGATCATACTATTTAATGCTAAGGTAATTATTAACTAAATGTTTTATCCAATAATACCCAATATGCTAACATTTCCAAAACTCTTCCAAAAGTCATCTGCAGTCAAAACAGCTTTTGTAGCATGAGTCTTACAATAATCAACAGCATCGCTCAGCTCTCTTTCTTTGTGTCAGGTCAAAGGTCAGTGTCAGAAGGGCATCCCAGCATCCGTCAGGGCAAAGGGCTGGCCACTGCTCTGTGGAGCTAAGGATAGAAAAGAAAAAAGTCAAGAACTCTATAAAGTAAGTGATTGGTCATATTTGTATCTTCTTTTTTATATACTCTTATATAAGCCCTGTGTTTCCTCTGTCTCCACTAGCGTCTAGTTGAAGCTCCAGATCATCAGGGATGGACCGATATCATCAAAAGAGACACAGACAGACAATTTCCCTTCCACGAGATGTTCCAGTCCAAAGACGGTCATGGGTACTGTGTTGCCTTTCCCTTCCCTTTCAATGTGCTCTGCAGCATTATAATTCACAACATTAGTCATAAAGCTCCCGTTCTCATTCGGTGTCTGCTTCTGTCTGGTCTCTGTATGAGCAGTCAGAAGGACTTGCTGGAGGTCCTGAAAGCGTACACTCAGTATCGTCCAGACGAGGGCTACTGTCAGGCGCAGGGTCCAGTGGCAGCTGTCCTTCTGATGAACATGCCTGCCGAGGTACTGCTTCTGTCATGATTATTTACCTGGTAATACAGTAAATAACAAAGAGCTATCACAGATTAAACAACCAAATGTGACCATGGACCACAAAAAATTTCTCAAAACAAAAGGTTTGTTAGGATAGGACAATATTTGGCCGAGATACAACTATTTGACAATCTGGAATCTGAGGGTACAAAAAAATCTAAATACTGAGAAAATCGCCTTTAAAGTTGTCCAAATGAAGTTCTTAGCAATGCATATTAATAATCAAAAATTAAGTTTGAATATATTTACGGTAGGAAATTTACAAAATATCTTCATGGAACATGATCTTTACTTAATATCCTAATGATTTTTGGCATAAAAGAAAAATCGATAATTTTGACCCATACAATGTTTTTTTGGCTATTGCTACAAATATACCCCAGCGACTTAAGACTGGGTTTGTGCTCCAGGGTCACAAATAATATGTGAAACATACATTTATAATGTACACTACCATTCAAACATTTGGGGGCATTTTTGAAATAAGTCAAAGTAAAAACAGTAATATTGTGAAATATTTTTACAATTCTAAATTTAAAATTTGTAAATATTTTTTTTACAATTTTTAATAATTTTACTGTTTTCATATATTATAAAATGTAATTTATTCCTGTGATCAAAGCTGATTTTCAGCATCATTACTCCAGTCTTCAGTGTCACATGATCCTTCAGAAATCATTCTAATATGCTGATTTGCTGCTCAGGAAACATTTATTATTATTATTATCAATGTTGAAAACAGCTGCTTGATATTTTTGTGGAAACCGTGATCATTTCTTTTCAGAATTCTTTGAATAGAAATAAAAAAACCAGCATTTAATTTTTGCAAGATTATAAATATCTTTACTGTTTATTTTGATCAATTTAATGCATCCTTGGTGTATTAAAGTATTCATTTATTTTTTTTAAATGTTACTGATCTCATACTTGAAACTTTTTACCTGTCGTTTTTTTAAATAGCATGTGAAACAAATTATGCAATGCTAAACAATTTCAAACAGTAGTTTACTACCATGTACTGCCACATGACCTCAATACTATTATTTAAAGGCATAGTTCACCCAAAAATGAAATGTTAATCACAAAAGAATATATTTTGAATAATGTTGGGAAACAAACAGTAGCCAGTAGCCATTGACTTCCATAGAAGAAAAACACTATGGAAGTCAGTAGCTACCTGCAGCTGTTTGGTTACCAACATTCTTCAAAATATCTTCTTTTGTGTTCAACAGAATAAAGAGAGTCATACAGGTTTGAAACCACTTGAGGGTGAGTAAATGACGACAGCGTTTTCATCTTTGGGAGAACTGCCCCTTAAATATTTAATTCCATGAGTGGTGTCCAGTTATTATAGCTGAAATTGTATGTAGTGGCTACTGCAGAAATAGTTTGTTTGCTAGTATCCTTGATGCTTAATATGGCCTAATTATTTGCTTTGTTTTAGGAGGTGTTCTGGTGTCTGGCGCAAATTAGTGAGCTCTACCTCCCTGGATACTACAGCCCTCTGCTGGTAGGGCATCTTTACAGTAACCATGAAAACAGCTGTTAAATGTGTGTGAAAAATGATAAATAGGCTTTTATTTTTCTTTCTCTTCAGGAAGGTGTTTTATTCGATGCTGCTGTTCTCTCAAGCGTGTTAAAAAAACAGTGTCCTGCCGCACACAAACACCTACAGAATCAGGGTGTGGAGCCTCTCATGTTTGCCACTGATTGGCTGATGTGTCTGTACAGCCGTCACCTGCCCTTCGACACTCTGCTCAGAGTCTGGGATCTCTTTTTCTGCTGTGGTTTGTTTTTTAACTATATATTTGTATGATTTAAAGATGCACTAATGCTGCGTTCAAGTTCTCCTGGGACGTTCGTACTTACAAGTTGACAAGTCGTAATTACGACGTCAGATGCGTTCAAGTCAGTTTAGTCGGCACAAGATGGCGGTGTACCTTCTTTTAATAAATTACAAGAAAATACATCAGGGTCTGCATTTTTTACTTGGATTTCATTAACTAGCTGCATAACAAGAACATGACCAATTTAAGTTTATAGGACAACTAAACTAAATCAAGTTAAATAAAAATTTACCGTCAACTACAGACGTTGCATCCATCGATTCCGCCATGTTTCTCATTGACACGCCCCCAACTCGGAAACTCGGGGCTTAAAGAAGATTTCGAGTTTCCCACTCATAATAAGACTTTGTGGTGGCGTTCATGTGCGTTCAACTCGTAAATACGATCTATCCGACATGTCTTGAACACACCATAAGTAATTGTTGGGTTGATTGTGGTCTTAGACGTTATACTGCCACCTATTGGCTTGGATGGCAAATCATGCAAAAATTTTCAGATACTGGGTGCTACTGTTGCAATATTTGTCACCATTTACCACTGTTTATTCTGCAACAATACGTGTCCGATAGTGTCCGTTTGCTATTGAATACAGTGTGAAACAGGCCATGTGATTTCAGCAGGCGGTTAGCACAGCACAACTTGCATTATGCAGAATAAAACATTTGCTAGGCCACTAATACCACCAGAGTTTTAAAACCTATTTGTCAAAAGTACCATCCATTCTTTGGTTGTATTTTGTTTTATGAAAAAATGCTGAGTGCACCTTTATTACACCTCTTGCCATGTTGAGCTGTTGTTGGAGTCCATGCATTGAGCACAGCTTGTGTGTGTTGCAGGTGTGCGTGTTTTGTTTCAGGTCGCTGTGGTGCTGGTGCGCCGCTGTCTGGGAGAAGGACGGCTGCGAAAAGAGTGTGACGGACAGATGGAAACCCTGGAAAGACTGCGAGGTGTTAAACAGCGTGTTCAACATGAGCAGGCTGATGCCTTTATCCATGAGGTAATATTACTGATTATTTCAACTCATCTGAATAAAGGCCTGTTCACATCCTAATGAATCTCTGTATGAATTGCATGCAGATACCCGGTTAGCCTGAGAGCTTAGCCTATCCAACACTCATCTGCTTCACACAATTATGACAATATTCACAACAATCTTTAATGTGATTTCATGTTAAACGTGTAAATATTTAAGTTATGATCAATGTTAAATTATTTAATTTAACTTTATCAAGTGAATTTTTTGTCCAGTTAATTTTATTATGCACTACATAGTAAGCATTTATATACATATTTTAAATTAATGTCATTTGTGTGTACTTAGTTTAACTATTAGTTGATAGAGACCTGATTTCTCACAACACCAGCTCTCTTATCTCTGTACTCTTGTATTCGGTGTTGTTTGATAAACACCATAGTGAATGCAAAAATCTGAATATTTGAAAATATTTAAATACTGTTTGACTTCTTTCTTCTCCTGTGAACTGGGGTAACTGTCTAAAACTGCGACCTACTGTCATGAATATGAATTTACATTTAGACCGTCTGCTGTTTTTACGCATTAAAGGGATAGTTCACCCAAAAATGAAAATTACCCCATGATTTACTCACCCTCAAGCCATCCTAGGTGTATAAGACTTTCTTCTTTCAGACGAATACAGTTGGAGTTATATTAAATAATGTTCTGGCTATTACAAGCTTTATAATGGCAGTGAATGGGTGTTAAGATTTGGAAACCCAATAAAGTGCATCCATTCATCATAAAAGTCCACACGGCTCCGGGGGGTTAATAAAGGCCTTCTGAAGCAAATCGATGCATTTGTGTAAGAAAAATATTCATATTTAACACTTTATAAACTGTAATCTCTAGCTTCCGCTAACTGTTGGACTTCTTTACTCAAAACCACTGTTACACCCTCAGGTATGTTCGGTGTCCCTGTCCTGGGCGGACCTGCAAAAACAAACTGAGAAAGAGCTGGAGAAATGGAAAAAAGAGAGACCAAACTCGACCTTTGACCCGCGAGGGCGCTGTCACGGATACCGAATGGCATGGGAGAGAGCGCAGGACAAACAAAAGGAACATGAAAAGAAGGAGCGACCGAAGGGAAGCCTGACTCTTCCTCTCATGCGCTCACATTCTTCTCTTTCTCCTTCAGTTCTGCGCAAGAAATGGAGAAAGAGGAGCAGCAAGACTGACACAGAGGAGTGGGACGGAGGGGGTAGAAAATTCTCACAAAGTGTGATGGAGGAAAGTGACGACGAGGAGGTGAGAAGGAGGAGTGTGTGTGGTATCGTTGGGGAGCAAAGGGCCAAAAGGGACAGGCTAGCGGACGAACTCTGCACACACAAAGATCACAGCACACATCCCAACATCTCAGTGGTGGTGTCCTCCACTATTGACTGTGATGTCTTTGAGAAAGAGCATACAGAAACATCTTTGAACCAACAGAAAGTTCATTCAGAAACAACACGAGGTGAAGAGAAAGACAGGACCGCTGGGTGTGAGGTTGAGGAAAGCATACAGACACATCATCACATACAGGACACAAATCAAGATGCACAGAGTACAGAAATGCAAGGACATCAGGTTGAACAGAATATAGAAAAAGACAAAACTCAAGATGATCAGAACACAGAAGCACCAACAAATCAAAATGAACAGAATACAGACAAACAGACGTGTCAAGATGAAAAGACTCTGGAGACTGAGAGAAATTTAGAGGCATGTGGGGAAAGTACATCACAGGAAGAAGACATACAGACTGACTCCAGTAAACAGGAAGAGGAAATACAACCAGACAGCAACATCCAGGAAGAAGAAATACGAACAGAATATTGCAAACAAGAAGAAGAAACTGAAGAAAATAGGTTGCCAAACATCATAGTGACTGAAGAAAATGAGGAAAATATCCCAGAGAAAGAGATACAGATACATGTTGTCCAGGAGGAAGAGAGGTCTCAAACATCTAGAGATCAACATGAAGAACATGAACATTTGGAAAGGCCAAAAGACAGTTTGTTCATACACACAGCTATAGAAGAAGATGAGGAGACTCAGCCTACTGGTGAAAACCGTACTGATGCAGACAAGGAGGAAGGGATTCAGCAAGAGTTTGATGTTCTCCCTGAGGAGACCACAGAGATATCAGACCCTTTAAAGATGTATGAGGAAAAAGATGACAAGAGATTGGAGGAAGACAGACAAGATATAAGCTTAGAAGAGAGTGACAGTCACTCTCATAGTGCTTGTAAAGAAACAGTGCAACCATCTGAAGCAGCGCTAACGTCATCCTCTTTAAAAACTGAACAAGAAAGTGAAAGAGAGCATCTGGACGGATCAGCAGATGCACTACAGCAATCCCAATCAGGCGAAGAAGAGCACAATGACATGGATGCTACTGTTACTTCCAAAGAGTTGGAGCATTGTCCAACAGATCCCACTGTGGAGGATGCAGTAGGATCTGGCAACCCAGAGCAAAGTGAAGTGGATTCTGCTGATGGCACCATCATCCTTGAACCTCAGGATGCAACAGTAGCATCTACACACGCTGTTGGCACATGTGGTAATAAAGAAATCAGTGAGATCAATCCCAAAAATAGTGACGTAAATGAATCACCTGAAACTGAAAATATAGCATGTTGTGAAGCCAATTCTGATGAATCAAGCAAACTCACAAACAATGTAGAGGATGATATTTGTAGATCTGTCTATGCGGAAAGCAACGAAATACATGCTGCTCCTGGATCAGGAAAACCTGAACGCAACACAATAGACATCACTGCCGAATCTGGCAAACTAGAAAGCAATGGAAAGGAAATTGCTGCTGGATCTGGCAACCCAGAGAGCAACAGTGTGCCTGTTACAAGCGAATCTGGCAACCCAGAGAACAGCACTGTGCTTGTTATAAGTGAATCTGGCAACCCAGAGAACAACACTGTGCCTGTTACAAGTGAATCTGGCAACCCAGAGAGCAACAATGTGCCTGTTACAAGTGAATCTGGCAACCCAGAGAATTCTGCTGTTGGCAACCTTGACAACAATGATGTGCATGTTACACCGGGATCTGGCAACCCTGAATGCAAAATGACAGATGTTACCACTGACACTGAAAAACCAGAAAGCGATGGCATGGAAGTTGCTGTTGGATCTGACAATTTAGAGAGCAATATAGTTGGTTCTCCTGTTGAAAACCCAGAATGTAATGATGTGCAAGTTACAACTGGATCTGGCAACACAGAGAGTAATATAGTGGATTCTGCTGTTGGATCTGGCAACCCGGATCACAAAGAAGTGCATGTCACAAATGAATCAGACAACTCAAAGACCAGCAGAGAGCATGTGACCACTGGATCTAGCAACCCAGAACACAATGTGCCTTCTACAGGTGAATCTGGCAACCCTGAGAACAATATAGTGGATTCTGCTGTTGGATCTGGCAACCCAGATTACAAAGATGATCATGTCACAACCAGATCTGACAACTCAAAAACCAGCAGAGAGCATGTAACTGCTGGAACTGGCAACCCTCATAACAGTGAATGTGCAATACCAGGAGACAGCCAAGGGTTAGAGTCACACTCTTCAATTCAATCTTCAAAATCCCCAAACGTCCCACCAGCTCACCTCTGCGTGCGCAGGACTTCCAGCTCGCGGGTTTCCTATCCCACAATCCTCTCTGAGGACACCTTCAAAGAGCCACAGCAGCAAGAACACACACATTCAGAACAGACAACAGACACACCAACACAAGACACACACGCTCAGTCCAACTCACTGACAAAGGCAGGCACCCCAAAACGTCTGGGTCTGTTTCGCCGTCTCCGAGGGGAGACCAATAAAGCCCCCGTCCCCAAAATCCTCATCCAGGACTTTAGCAATAAAGAGGAGGGGCTGACGGCGAAAGAGAGGAGGAGGAGAAAGAGAGAGAAAGAGCAAATAGACAGAGAAGAGAAAGACAGAAAGAAACAAGAGAAGGAAATGGAAAAGGACAAAGACAAAGAAAGGAAAAAGCCTCAGACAAGAGGAAGGAGCTTCCAGGTGCTCAGCAGCAAGGGTGCTGATAATGTCGTGTCCCCTGGGAACAGTAATTTTCATTCATCTCACGCCAGGAGAAACTCTGCCCCTTTTTCTGACGGATATTTTTAAATAATCAGAGACTCGATCACATATTTGCATTCCGCAGTGGGAGTGAGATGTTTTAATGTGACTTGTGCAATGATTTGATGTGGCTTTTATATTCACTGCTTCATCTCTTGGTTTAAAACCATAATTATTTTCATAGAAAAATAAAATCAGGAGGAGATTTGTGTGTAAATGTATTCAGCAGTCTTTGTGAGGTTGGATGTGCGAGTGTTTTTTCCACATCCTTTACGTCCGAGTTCAGTCGATGGGCGGTTATGATGTTTCTGTCTGATTTTCATCTTCACTGTCACTTGCAAGCACTTCCTGGCTCTGCATCGTCTGATTGGGCAACTGAGAGGAAGTGGGCAGAACTGAACCGAAGAAAAGCGAACAAAACTGAAAGGAAAGAAAGCAGGGACTGAATATTAGTGAGATCTGGGCATTGGGTTTTATATTTTTAAACAAATGATTCATTTAAATAATTATTGTACCTTTTTGTTGGGAGGTCCTTCTGCAAGTGCTTCCTCTTCACTGAATGAGTGCTTTCTGTTATTGGAGGGTCGTGGTGGGGATGCGGGTGCATGTGATGGTCCAGGTAGTTCGCTGGTCTCCATGGCGATGAGAAATGAGTCCATGTCATCGCTCATGAAGTCATCTGGTGGTTGTTCTGTGTCAGGGCTATGGGAGAAAAAGTATTAAAGTAACAAATATAACAATATAAAGTTTTTAAGATTATATTCCATATTTTATGATTTTTACTTACTGTTTTGTGTCAGAGTTGACGTGGTTCTTTGGATGCGAGTCCTCTGACAGTGTAGCGAGGACAAAATTTGCCTCCAGAACACTGTCTGTTACACTCAGGATAACTGGACTGAAAACACAACCACAAACACACACAGGTGAGTATACACAAATACACTGCTGTTTAAAAGTTTGGAGTAAATAAGATTTGTTTTTAATAAATACATACTTTTATTTAGCAAGGATGCATTAAATTGATCAAAAGTGACAGTAAAGACATTTATGATGTTACAAAAGATTCAAATAAATGCAGTTCTTTGAAATTTCATTTCATTAAAGAATCCTAAAAATAAATAAATAATCAGTTTCCACAAACATATTAAGCAGCACGATTGTTTTCAACACTGATGATAATAAGAAATGTTTCTTGAGCAGCAAATCAGTATATTAGAATGATTTCTGAAGGATTGTGTGACACTGAAGACTGGAGTAACGATGCTGAAAATACAGCTTTTAATTACATTTTAACAGATTTTAAATTTTAGTAATATTTAACAATATCACTGTTTTTACTCATCAAATAAATGCAGTCTTGGTGAGGCATCTTTCAAAAATATTTGCATATCCAAACTTTTGCATGGTAGCATACATATTAATTTGAAATATTTTAAAATAAGCTATGTGAACAAAAAGTGAACTTGGGCTAGTTCATAAGCAAATAGAAACTAACCTGCCTGGCTCATCAAAATACATAGAGACTGGAAGACCAGATGACTCAGCAAATACAAGCAAACCCTGATGGAAAACCAGAGAGACAAAAACATTAGTTTTAATGCTATAGCATTCTATGGTTATTTTAATAGCAAAATCAAGGTTAAAATATATTCATATATAAAACAGCTAATAACCTATTTAATATGTTTATCCATTCTTGATTTTGCAACCCTCTACAGACACCTTGGCAATAGAATTGCCATTGGCTAATAATTTATTTAAATTTACTTGCCAGAAAAGTCTGAAAATTAAATTAAATTTGACCCATTTTTCGTTTTTACTATATCAAAAATCCCTTTTTTTATTTTAAACAAATGTTACAAATCTTTCATGAAAATGTAAAATATTTTTGGCTCCAAAATAACTTTTTGAAATAATCATTATACATAACATACATATATATATATATATATATATGATGAGTTCATTTGCAAAAACCGATAACCGATAACGATAACTGATTTCAGAAATCACGTTTTTTTTATTGCGCATTCCAAGTAATAGCAATCAAACTGCAGTTGGGTTGTTTTGATTAAGTAATAATAACTTAAACAAATACAGGTAATTTACTTTACTTTAATTGAAAGTATGTTTTTCTTACATATTAAAAGTTTGTTTTATAGCAAAAGCAGATAACTCCAACAGTCGTTTTTTTTGGCAAAAGCTGATAACTCCACATTTTATGTTTTAGAGTTTAAAAAAACACTCGTTTAATCTTTGTAATCTCCTCAGATGACTATGTAGATGCCTAACAAACGTTGTTGTTGTTGTGATCATAAACTGTATGGATGTGATTACACACAATACACAGAGCTTTTCCCTCACCATTGTAAAGCACTGCTTTTCCAAGGTTCCGTGAAAACTTTTCAGCTTTTATTTTCCTTTTTCGCCCTGAAGAAGATATCACAGGTTCATCAAGTTCGTCGAAATGATCCAGCCTCAATCACTTTTAGTCAGCTTTGACGAAACTCCTCTCAGCTAGCACATCTTTTCAAAGTGAAAGTAGCCTTGTCACCTGACCTGAATACAGCGCGCTGATTCGCTAAAAT